GATGATACACTCGATTTAGGTCAAAACAATTTACAATGAACGCATGGCCGGCTTTTTGGCTTTCCGTTTGGAAATTCTGTTTACCCCATTAGTGAATCGACCCGAAGGGAAAGACCTTTTTGGCTAGCAGGATCCAAATTTCATTCAAACCAGAAGTCTGAAGACAAAAATGGAATCCGACTTACTTAAGTCTACATTCGTCCTTTGAATAGTCTCATGACATTTTGGGGGTAGTGATTTGTAGGATTTCTGTGATCTGCAGGCCACTTGTTTGGTGAATTACATTAGGAAGAAAGACAAATTCACTCTTCAGCAGCAGTAACGTTACCTCGCCTATGACGACTTCTCTAGTTGCACCATCTCTGTTACTCACTGGTCTGACGTGCTTACAGTTTAGTTTGTTGTAATCAACGTCATCACATCATCATTATCAGCTGTAAGAACCGCGTTCTTGCCATACAGTGGTTATAGCTGCCACAGTTTCGTCCACCGATGATTCAGGGAGGTGGGGTAGGTAGCTGCGCATTGGAGGCGGCAGCCGATAAATTAATGTGTAAATACAGCCCTGTAGGTGGACTGTTAAATGGAGAGGGGGATTGAGAAGGGAGCTATGCATTGAAGGCAATAGCTTTGGTGCATGAGCGCCATTGAGGGCGCGACTGGGCCATGTCTGACAGTATCTCTACCCATTGATGTGGCCCGTCTCGGGGTCCCCATCCAGGAAGATGGCAAAGACCAGCGCAGCTGAGCTTACTGGTAATGACTTTCATACTTCACTGCCAAGCCATTGTTTGTCCGCCTCTGGCTCTCTTCCACCCCTCACGTGGTTGTGTGGAAAGAGCCCTTTTAGGAATCTGGTCGACTGACATACTGAGAAAGTGGTCAAGCCGGCGCAACCCGTGCATTATGATCAGTTCATCTATCGTCGGTGACCTATTTCTTCAAAATAGTATTCGACATACTTCAGCATTGCTGATCCGGTGTTCCCACCAGACTGGTGATGCGTCGAATACATCGATGGTCAAACACTGAAAGTCTTTTGGCGTCCTCGGCGCGCAGCGACAAGGTTTTTTATCCGTATGGTAATATGGAGCGCACCGCAGGATTGACGTATAAGCTGGTGTCGCGCCTTCGCCACAGGTGACGCAGGTTCATAAAAGCCGCTCTGGCCCTCCAATTCTAAACGGAACTATCATCTTTCAGGAGACCACTGGGACTGATACAGCTGCCCAGGTAAACAAATTTGGTTCATGCGTAAACATGAGGTTAGAGTTCGAGCCCACCCAGCTTTGCAGTAGCACTTTACACTTTGCAGGTTTGAAGCGCATACCGAACCATGAGGCGGATTTATTTAGATTATTCAACATTGTTTGCATTACCACGGGCTCAGATCCAAGAAGAGCGCTGTCGTCTGTGTACTCGATATCTGTGAGCGTACGCACTTCGAACCCACAGGCAATAGGGGCTGATAGTGAGTCTTCCATAACTGCATCAATGATGAAGTTAAGGAGGAAAGGTGAAAGAGGACAGCACTATCTGAAGCCACATGATGTGGTGAACTCAGACGAGAGCTTCCCGTAGACCTTCACACGGCCGCGGGGGTTGGCGTACAGCGCCTTGAGGTGGGCCAAGAATTTATGGGCGAGACCTTTACTCTCCAGACACTGCCATAGTGCCTGACGGTCCACAGAGTCAAAGACAGCTATGGGGTCAAATAACACAACCATTTTTGGTTGTTGAAAGCAGTGTCCAGAACCTGTCAGTGAGTGAAAATGTGATCGTTTATCATTTTGCAGGACGGAACTCAGCTTGGTTTTCACGGATCTGTCCCTCCCTGTGTTCAGTCAGCCTTCGAAGAATAAGACTAGAAAGCACCTCCGATGCCACAGCTAACGGGCTGATGCCACGGTGGTCTTCACGCAGCGTCCGCGTATCCTTTTGAAGATAAGGATAACTGTTGACATGCCACATTCTGCAGGCATCTTCTCTTCGCTCCGTATCGAACCATTTGGTTTCATCAGAAAAGTCACTGGGGATTCTTCACCTTTGAAGCAGGTTGAATACAGTTTTGTTGCCCCCTTACGTTTCAGTGTGGATATCTCGTACTTTATTTCATATCCGGACAGGCGATTAAGGTTTGCATTCCATTCGTGCGTGTGCACTGTCTCCACAGGCTGTGTTGCTAGGAGGCCAGCTGAACTGATCTCTGAGGTGCTTCGCCCATTTTTCTAGTCGACGTTTTTGCGAACGAAATATCAAGCCATCTCTTCCACTTACCGTTTCGCTGACCACCGCTTTCCTGAAGTCAACCGATCGTATCAGTTGATACAAGGCTGTTTTTTGTATCAAAATTCCCCATCTCACGAGCCTTTGGTGTTCACCGGAGCTCTTGATCTTTCCTTAGGCTCCCTTCAATACTTGGCGTTTGAGGGATTTGCGTGCGCCGTCGTACTTGTTGCTCGCTGGTATGGATTTCCTGACATTATTCACGGATAGGGATCTCAACGGCATTCGGTGGTCTTGTGGTCGAACCAAAGACGTCGGACAGAGAGCACCGAACGCCGGTACCACGGCCCCCTTCACATTTTGCTGCGCTTCATCCACATGCTTACTACCAGTAGAGTATTGGTCTACTGCGAAGAGTTGTTGGAATAGCTAGGACTGATACTGTTGAGCTATGGTAGTTTTCTTGCTGACTTGCGAGGGCTTGAGGCGGAACGAACTACCAAACGTGCACGCATCATTGCACGATCAGAATCAAGTTGTGCGCCCCAGAAGGAAAGAGTTTTAAAATGTAGCTCTCCACTGGTGGCTGATGGCCACGTGATTCAACTGAGTCCACAATTGATTTGCGGTTGGTAGCCACCAGATTACTCGATGCTGAACGTTCATACTGGCCAAAAACGGTTCACGATCAGCACACAATTGGAAGAGTCGCTCTACGTTGTCTGTGCGAAAAGCATCGACTCTAAACAGGCTCCCAACTGTGATTCCGAGCAGCTCAGATGAGCCACTTGGGCATTCATATGCCCGCAATAATCAGTGCTTAACGAATGAGCATGGATACCTCTCGATAGAAATTATCCTTCTCAGCTTCAGAGCTGCAGCCCGTTGGGGTATAAACTGACGCTACAAACAGGCACCGCTTTATGTCGAGACTCTGGACTTGATTGAGCTGGAGCTCGTGAATTTAGGGAGGCAGGAAGGTTCATAAAGCCTATCGGTCAGATGAGTGACAAACAAAATATTTGTTATGGTTTATTTGTGTGGTGGGAATGGGTTGGTGAGGGACGTCAGTGGACACAGAATTACGCGGGCAAATTATACTTCTCGATTGTCCGGCCGGATGAAGGGGGCTTGGCTGAGGTTCCCCATCTTGAACCTTTGTTTCCAAAAATCTAACCCACAAGGCAGTGGAAGCATATAGGATTTTGTTCGGGGACCCTGCTCCTAGCCTCTGACTCAAAAGTTTGACCGGCGATGCGGCGGACAATAGGGTTTTCTTTGGGGACCCCGCCTATAGCCGATGACTCAACAGTCCGACCTGCTCGGCAGCATGGGATTGACCATGCCCGAGGGTGCAGGGAATAAGACATTACGGTCTCCCTTCTGACGTGGCCGCATGCAGCAGGTGCCTTTTGAGTAGCACGAGACTTTTCAATTTTAAACGTGTTTCGACCGTATTGAATAAGGCGGTGGCGGCGGTCACGGTCAACCGGTTTTTAGGGCTAAACTTTTATAAACTATCCTTCCTCGGGGGAAGGCAGCATCGTTGCTTCAATGAATATAGACATGCTGGTCGTCTAGGGGAAACATCCCAGTGTCTTCTCATTCCTGTAGCAGAGAAAGTACGAATTTTCCCTCAGACCGCGTCGTAGAACGATCACTCGTGGTATGGGTCTCGCTGTTCTTGGTCCGACTGCTATCCTCTGGCCTTCTTGGTGTAGCCTGTGGAATCATTGTAGCACTCACATCGCGCCACCACGTCAAGGTGCAGCTTTAGGTAGGGTTTTAATCAACGTGACTGGTGAAAAACTGTTTACATATTTCCGGAATTCACGCTGAGTGTGATATCCAGTCACTGTCCAGACGAGCTCCCTTGGCAAAAGGCACTCATTTTTCTCCTTAAGTCGTTCTGGAGAGACCCAAATTAACCTATCGTTAACAGCAACGCTAGCTGCAAATGACGTATTTCGTCAATGGCGTACAAATTCGCACTCGAGTGGAACATGTGGTTGATGGAAATTTGGAGCAACGCCTACCCACCAAGGACAGAGCCGGTGTTGGCCAGCCAAAGATCTTTCAATGTCCTTAGGGGGAGTGTCCCGAGAAGAAACTACATATGACTACTTCTAGTATTGTCCAGGACATTCTAGGCGGCATGGGAATGCCAGATGAATAAAATGCCGTAAAAAAACACTACCAATCACAGAAGGCCAGTTTTTCTTCCCTGAGAACGTCCTGAAGAAAGTAATTTAGGGAGGGACTCAGTCCACTTTCGATAACCGTTCATCCTATGGCAATGGAGGTTTACCCCGCCATACTTAGTGGACTACCTTTGTGGGTATTTTAACATCAGTCGCGTGAGCTGGTTTGCCAGCTTGAAAAACCACAGCTGAATTTTCACCACAGTCTGTTTTTACTGGTTATTGCATGGTGCGAGGTAGGACTAACCGTGGTTAAAGCAGATGATGTAGACCAGAGCAGTTCATCTAGTACTGGTGAAGTATCAATTCACTGGGCAGCTGTGCGTTGTTCCATATGCAAGCTATGGTCACTGACATAATCACGCCAAACCGTTCTGAGTTGCAGATAAGCATTCCAGTCGGAGCACTGTCAACTCATATTTTACCCAATCTGGTTCGCTGATCGAATACTCTTTGGCTACCTTAACAAATGAATGCATCATTTAGGATGAGTAGTATTCAACTATGATACAGCTTCCAAAAAAATAACAGAAAGTTTACATTTTTCATCGTGTTTGAGTTTCCGCGTGCAGCTCATTCCGTTGAATCACTTCTATTCATTGGTTGCATACTGGTCAAGTAACCTGCCTGAGCGGAACGCCTCAGACTTGGTGAGTGGGTCCGATCGATTTTTGCCTGGGCCGCACGTTTCACAGTCACATGACACTGTAAAATGTGTTTGAAAGAACGTCGAAATGATCGGTTGTAAAAAGCATAAATAATTGGATTTAAAGTGGAATTAAAGTAGCCAATCCAGAATAGAACTTCGCCCAAAATGGAAGGGTATGGACAATCAGCGAATGCACGGCAAACGTTTGTGGAAATGTACCAAAAAAAGAATGGACACCAGCATAGGATAAATGCACCAATAATAATCCCTAGCGTCTTTGCTGCCTTGTTTTCCCTGTGAATCTTCAAGTGCTCTCTTGATTCCAGACTCTGATTTGGAATGCTTGGTGGAGACATGCGATTTGTGATGGGTTGATGATTGGTTTCTGAAGCCCTCATCAACAAGTTAGTCAGATTTTCCGGAACCGTTGTTTCTTTCTCCACTGACCCCCGTGGTTGTTCCGTAGTGTACGTGGTAGCATCGCTCGATGTTTTGAGTTTTTTGGATAGGTGTAGATGATGAATTTTGCGTTCTTGCCTTCGTGCCTCGATATATATCCTCACATACACAGCAACCATCACAATACTGGGTATGGTGAACGAGGTCGAGGAAGACACAACAGCGTAGATGGGGTTAACTACGAATTCACACACTTCATGCTGTGAGCCCCTCTGGGCCAGGTATTCCGCCGTTGTATAAATGCCGCTCATAATGGGCAGATAAGAAATCAATATCGATAGGATCCACGTAGTGGTAATCATCAAGGTCACTCTGGATTTAGTCATTTTCCTATCATATGATAGCGGATTGATGATTGCAATATAACGTTCCATGGATATACAACACAAATGCAGAATGCTTGCAGTGCTGAATAGCACATCGTTTGCATTGAAAACATCGCAGAACCAATTGCCAAATATCCATCGGCCGTGCATGAGGGACATGCAAGCGCTGAATGGCATCACGACCAGTGCGACCAGAAAATCAGCCATAGCTAGGGAGACAAGAAATATGTTCGTCTTGACTCTGCGAAGTCTTTCAAATCGTTGTACGGCAATGAAGACCAAGGCGTTTCCAAACAAAGCGGCAAATATAATAAGGGAAAAACAGAGTCCTTTGAAAATTTGTGATAGTTGCTCTGAAGTGCCATTCGAGGACCGTTTTGCCGCTTCGAACTGGTCGAAAGCTTCGCCCCTCAGCATGTTGCCGTTTGCTTAGATTTCGATGTAGTATAAATGGCCGGCTGAAGTGGAAAGTGAGAAAAACATGAAGGTTAGATTTTCCAGCCGACCAAAACAGTATTTCGACGACATGGTTTGACGAATTCCATGATATATCATAGTTATACAGACATGGAGACCAAGTGGGCGGTTTTTCTATGGCCCCTCATGGGACTGATGTCTCTGTTCATATTGGTCTTGTCGATTCTGGGTAAAATGAAATATAACAGGCTGCGGGTGGTGAGTGAAGCAACGCCTTTTAGATAACCTTCATTTCCAAATTAAATTAGGAATCGTTTTTATAAATGTATTACACTACTCATGAGGTCGGTGAAAACTCTACGACAGCTCACAAACGGCTTCATCCTTCTTGGATCTTGCCAGATGAGCGTAGAGAATAAATGATGCCACTTAAATGTAGTCATTTTGAGGTAACTTATAACATAAGACAACAGAATCCTTCGGTCCGAATAGTATAAAACACTCAGTTTGACATATGTCATCGGGAATGAATGTGTTTCATTTTGGCCATAAACATATCCACAGATGTTCTCTACCGTCTGAGTGGACCCCATCGTTAGGTTTTCATTTCAGAAATTTCAAAAACTTCGGAACTGGATGAAGAGAACACCAACACCTGAACTCTTCCTACAAGTTCACGCCAGCCAAGCACCTATTGACAGTGAATTTATATCGGTGTTGATGATGACCTCTTCTCTTGGAAAAACGAACGAAGGGATCGCCGCAAACTTAGATTTCGGGCCGTTTGGAGACGATGCTCACCTGCAGACTTGTTCTGTCTCAGTGAGCTCCGTTCATTCTGCTGTAGTCATTTAACTGATAGCACACACTGACTCGTAATCTAAGAAAGGAGTACCTTCATTGACTATGTGGTAATCAATTGTAGGTGAATGCGGTATTTGTGGAATTGGCCTTCACATTCCCCTCTTTTGAACAGTCTTCCTCCTGATATGTCGCAGTTATTCGTGTGAACCAACACCAAAGAGGGACAGTATTTGACACGAGTTTTGCCCTTATTAGAGCTCATCATCTGTGCATATCCTTGGCTACGCCGGAGTTTGAACTCCGGACATCTGACATGCGAGGCGTGGGTGTACCCACTGCTCCACTAGGGTATGCTGGATGCACCTGGATTTCCAGGTCTGAACAACCAACCAACCAAACAAACAAACAAACAACCAACCAATAATGCAATCCTTCAATAAATAAAGTAACTAAATAAATCAGTCGATTATACAGTCATTCAACCACCACTTATTTATCTACCGTTAAGTTGTAAAGTAGTTTCTGTGCTTTGCTGTGCCACTAGCCGGCGGAGTCACGAGGGCTGAGATACTATCGGCTTGTCTAAGCCTAGATTTAGAGCAGTCAAGGTGCTAGGGTTGAGTTTAAACCACGGTGCTTTCACCAGTGAGCTGTCTCAAGCACACCCATTCATCCGTTCATACGTAAAACTGATTATCTATCTATCTATCTATCTATCTATCAATCTATCTATCTATCTATCTATCTATCTAT